CTCAAAGATACCAAAATCTGAGGACTCACAAGTCCTTATATGAACTGACCTAGTGTTTACACATAACCTACACAATCCTGTATCCCTAGGGGAGGCATGGTGGTGTGGGGAGCAATCCGGACTAGACTAAGTTACTCGAATTAGGACTTATTCTATGCATCTGCTCTCCCACAATATGGCGCTGGGAGAGAAGTAAACAGCTTCCGCACAGCTGCCTCCAGTTCAACCAATTAACTGTAGGACTTGCTCCTGATTGGAGAGCAGCGTACTCGGCGTGTGGGCAGCCGAGTTGGGATTGGCGGAGGAGGACTATAAAGGAGGAGAGAGACGGCATGCACCAGGAACATCTATGGGGAACATCTGAGGGAACCCGTGCAGCCCCCGAGAGAGCCGGCCGGCGGTGTGCCGCTCCCCTGCGGAAGTGGGGAATGCGGCCAGGGGGAACTGCCCTTCCACGGAGGTGGAAGGGATAGTAGCCAACCCGGGAAGAACCAGCAGCAAACCCGGGGAGGGCCGAGCAGACGAAAGAACAGCGCAGGGTCCTGTGTCGTTCCTCCACGAAGAGGGGGAGCGACATGGTGGTGCAACAGGCTAAGCTGCCACCTGAGCTCTGGAATCCCGCATCAGTGCACTGCGTCAAGTCCTGGCTGCTCTGCTTTCAAGCCAGCTCCCTGATACTGTGCCTGGGAAGATGGTAGAAGGTGGCCCACATCCTTGGGCCCCTGCACCCACAGGGGCGATGCAGATGGCCTTCCAGGGCCCAGCTTTGGCCTGGCCCAGCCCTGGCTGTTGCAGCCATTTGGGGAGTGAACCAGTGGATGGAAGATCTGGTTTTCTCTCTGTCTCTCCCCCTCTCTGACATTCTGCCTTTCCAAGGAATTAAACAAAATTTTAAAAATAAATAAATCGTCTCTAGATTACTTGTAATGCCTGATAGAAGTGCCGTGTAAACAGATGTTATGCTGCATTGTTTAGAGACTAATGATTGAAAAAATGTCTCTGCATGTTCAATACACACGCAGTATTTTTTCAAATATTTTCAATCTGCAGTTGGTCAAATCAGTCAGAAGATTGACCATATAGAATTTTGAGCTATTGGTCACTTGTAATAAAAATTCCTGCTGTTAAAGAAACTGAGACCCGATATACTTTCATAAAAAGTGGAAATGCAGGGGAAAGAAAGAAAACAGATAAATCCAAAAGTCCACTGAGAATTTCATTGAGGAGTGTGTCACTCTGGAATCCCGGAAATGACTGAGTATACTGGGAGCTCTGGTGAGCTAGGTAGGACCATGATTTGGGAAGAGGTTTGGGGTCTTTGGGCCCAGCAGGGCCACAAATTGTGCAACCCTCAATTTCCTTGCCCCTAAGATGAAGTCAGTGGTTCCCAAGCGAAATTCTGCAGGCTAATGGCAAGACGGTTACCACCAGATGATGCTTCTGCGTGTTGCGGACTGGGATGCACGAGCCAGATCCGGTGACTGCTGGGCTCTGTGATCTTCTCCCCAGTCTATCTTTTAAGTGGAGAAACCTAAATTTGCTTTGCTGATAGAAAGCTGTAGCAGAGAAGTGAAGAAGCCATCTCTGCTTTGCTAGCGCAAAATGAAAAGGAAAAACAAACACGTTTTAACATGATTTGGTGCCGGACATTTTTTTCTTGATAGGATACTAGAGAATTCGTCAAGAGTTGTTAAACAGGGAAGTCAAAGGTTCCATTGCAGAAGCTCACTCAATATTTGCCGATTAATAGATTGATGTGCTAATTCAAGCAGAGAAGGAATTTTGCCTCTTTAAAGTCAGGATCTCTAATTGCCCATTCAGAATAAAAATACACTCTGTTCAGCTCAGCAGCCTAGGCTGTCTGTTCCATTATTCAAACAAACACCAAAAAGAATCTAATGTATCCTTTGGCAACCAGAGATAGAACTCCCACATCCAGCTTCTCTCAGGCAGATGTGGCTGAGGGATATTACACAATCCGTGCCCTGGGTTTGACAAAGCAGGTTTAGGTTCTGAGCCCCCAGTCCCCACCCCCAGAAGGCCAGGCAGAAATCCTTAATCAAGCCCCACCTCCAGGGTGTTTACGGGGGCCTCCCAGGGAAACCGGCAGGATGACTGTGGCTGAGCTTTTCAAAACAGACAGAACCCAAAGTCCTTTCAAACAGGCAGCGATCAGAACTATTGATTCCAAAAGGAGCGATTTCCAGTGGCACGGAAAAGTTGGCCTGTGATCATAACTGGAATACATCTTCTTCTCAGCACATTGACTTTCTATTCAAGCGTATTCAAAATGTATTTTTGTTCAACACATTGAGAGCACTCAGCCTTTAAAAAGTGCCCCACTCCGGTCCCCCCACCCCAAATTACTTGTCTCTACCTCTCTCCATAGGCTCGTGGCCCTTTAAATGTTTTTTTGCCCTGTTAAGGTGCCATCACTTGAATGATGCCCTTGCATTTTAGGTAAATGTGGGTGATTTTAAATAATGACAATGCTAAGGTAGTAAAATATCAATGAATGGGCAACATTTGGAAACAGTACGAATGCCCCCATATCTGTGGGATCCGTCTAGAATGGTGTGGCCAGAGCATAGACCACGTGAAATTTCTACTGCACGTCCCTCGTCTGGTGGCTCCTCCACACTGTCCACTAGGACGTCAGGTGTGCCATTGGGTGACTCTGGAGCAGGGATCTGGCTGACTCACACAATGTTTTCTTAAACAGTCATTGTTTGGGTCAATTAACATCTTCCCATCCCTGTGACTGTGTCACTCACGCTATTATAAAGTAATGGTGCGGAAAACATTCTTTAAGTGGCTATGAAATAATGTGGGAGGTGACAGACAAGAAGGCCGGCTGCAAAATAAAAGGACTAGGGCTAGGACATTTCAACAAGCATCCTTAAAGCAAAAATGTGCTACCGGAAGTCTCCGTTTATGCTCCCTGAGAATATATCCCCTTCCCACTTTGTGATCACATTTGTAGGAAAATTAGACTAAACTTAAGAGAATCTTAACAATGTTCTTCTTCCGGAGGGCTGTTCCCTTTGAAACAGTTTCATGTCAATATAGTGTATATCCCTCCTGGATTGTAATCTCTGTAGAGGAAGCAGAAACCATCTGTTATTTTTGTATTCCGAACTCCAATGGCCTATTAATAACAATGGTGACACTGTGAGAGAGGTTTACTACTTACAAAGTCCTTTTGTCTCAGAGCCCCCTCCCAAGGATCCTGTGGAGTGAGTTTTATTGTTTTCCCTGGGTGACAGAAGACACAGGGATGCAGAGAGAATCCCTGCCTTGCTCACCCTGGGCAGCAGTGAGCGGTGGGTAAGAAAACTGTCCCGCTAACATTTGCCTCTTAGTCTGATACCCTTGTGTCTAGGCACGGCCTGGCATGAAGTCTGAGATCCCCGTGTCTAGGCACGGCCTGGCACGAAGTCTGAGACCCCGTATCTAGGCACGGCCTGGCCTCATGGGGGACAAGAATTTCAGTCCCTGTTCCCTGCTGCTGTCTGTGACTGTGCTGTGCCACCCCTTTCCCCCGGGAATCGGCTAAGGCAACACTTTTGTGCGGGGCTGTCTGGTGACCAAGAAAGGTCCCTCGTTTGCCCTGGTTCAATGCATGGAGCTGTGTCGGGTGGAGATGGCAAAGAGGGGCAGTATAAACCGTAGCAGAGTCACGGCCTTGGGTCCTCATGAGAACAGCGCAAAAATCAGGGGCTGCGTTCTATTTCCTCCCGCCACCCCCGGCAGTCAATTGGCCTGGATTCTTTTCTTCCAACCAGAGTACTGAATTACAGTTCAGGGAGATAAAAGTAGGGCTTGCAAAGCAAAGTTCATTAAAGTCCCTTCCAAAAGACGAATGAGTCGGTGGAGAGAAAACCTGGCTCCCTTTTGCTGTGGTTGGAGGCTTTTATCCCTGAAATCTGAGGGGCATTGACCGGTGATGTGGCCGTGATGCTCATGACTGGCGTTTTTGATTGACATCTGGGACTTGCATATCTCGAGCTCTCTGTGCATGCGGCTTCCCAGCATGCATCAGGAACGCCCACGGCGGGAGGAGGGAAAGACGCAATGCTGATTGTATTATAATAGATGAACAAGGAAGCAGGATCACTGTGCTGGCAAGCTGGGTCACTGTGCATGTCCCGTAAACTGGGCCTTTCTAGCTTGCCTGAGTTCCCTCAAGGTCAGAACACTTTAACTGGGTGGTCCTGGGTGGGCCCAGGGCAAGAACAGGGTCCCTGGTCACTCCCCTGGCGGAGCGCTTTGTGGACCATATTGAATTTTCTGCCTCTCATGACCGCCACAAGTCACAAGGTCTTGGAGCAGCCCTTAACCTCTCTAGCCCTTAATTACCTCTTCTGAAAAATAAGAACAGTCCTTATCCCCACTACCTCAGAAGACTGGTGAACTGCTGGTGTGGATGTCGCTTGTCCCCAAAATGTTTCACGGGCTAGAGGCCCGATCCCCAGTGTAGTGGTGCTGAGAGGTAGTTTAAGAGGTGGGGCTTAGGGAAAGATGATTAGGACCCTGAGATTGATGCTGGCCATGTGGAGTGAGCGACTTCTTTGAAAGAGCAGGTTGAGGGGCTGGCACTGTGGCATCGTAGATTAAGCCTCTGCCTGCGCCCCAGTATTCCATATGGGCACAGGTTTGAGTCCCAGCAGCTCCTCTTCTGATCCAGCTCCTGTTATGGCCTGGGAAAGTGGAAGATGGCCCAGGTGCTTGGGCCTCTGCCCTGTGTAGGAGACTCGGAAGAAGTTCCTGACCCCTGCCTTCAGATTGGCCCAGCTCTGGTCATTGTGGCCATCTGGGGAGTGAACCAGCAGATGGAAGACCTTTCTCACTGTCTCTCCCTCTCTCTGTCTGTGACTTTCTCAAATAAATAAATAAAAATCTTTGAACAGAAGAAACCACATAGAAGAGAAAATAAAGAGCGGGTTGTTGTAAGGGAGGATGGCCTACATGCTTGACCTCTTTTGCTGTTTCCCTTTCAGCTTCTCTGCTCCTGCAGCCATGGGGGCCTCGCCAGGATGCTGGTGCCATGCTGCTTGGACCCTCCCATCACTAGAGTTGAAGGCAGATAAACCTCTGTAAGTTACCAGCCCTGAGTATTTTCAGCACCACAAAATGAGCTAATGCACAAACCCTGGGGATATTTCCTACCTAATGCATGCCACACGTGGCCAGGACACATCCAAGGACCTACCAGGAGCCTACAGCATGGAAGCCCCCTACCCCTCATGTCCCCCAATGCTCCCTGGTGGGTACACACAGGGCTTGGCTGTTATTGTTAAATAAACTCAGCTATTTGACTTCAGAAAACAAATAATAATATGATGGTGAGGCAGAGAAACTGACATATGTTTTTATAAACAAAACTGCTTATTGTTAGTTTTTACAGAGAGAAAATTATGTCTCCTTTCTGTTCTCTAAACTAAAATTGACAAAAAATTATCCAGGTAGAAGTAAAATCCATTTTTTTTTTTTTTTGACAGGCAGAGTGGACAGTGAAAGAGAGAGACAGAGAGAAAGGTCTTCCTTTGCCGTTGGTTCACCCTCCAATGGCCACCGCGGCCGGTGCAGCCAGCGCACCGTGCTGATCCGATGGCAGGAGCCAGGTGCTTCTCCTGGTCTCCCATGGGGTGCAGGGCTCACGTACTTGGGCCATCCTCAAAAGCATTGATTTTGGACGTGCCCAGAATGAGCAATTTTGATGTATTCAAAAAGAATGCCCCTTCCTTGTTCCCAGAATGTGCACAAGGATGGCTTTGCCCAACAGGGAGCTTGTCCTTGCGTCTGAGATCAGGGCGTGACTGGGCAGGTAGCACCAGGGAGGAGGAGGCCTGCTCCCACAGGCCTGCTAGCCTGGAAAGAGGGCGGGGCAGGAGGCGAGAACACAACCCCCCCTCCCCGCCCCAGGGCCCAGCAGGCAGCCTGCTCCCTGCCTTCTGCTGTCAGCCCTTCACCTCCCAAGCCGCCTGCTGTGTGCATCTGATTTCACTTGCCCTAGTGGATCTGCGGGCAGTGGTCTGGTGTAGTGGCATTTGCTCTGGGGAAAGAGAGCACCAAGCTTCATCTTGTGATCTTTTAGCTCTGGCTGCCTAGAGTACCATGTTGGAAATGAGTCTCAGAGCAGACGTGGCTCAGGGGCAGAGAGCACAGAGCACCCCTCCCATGCCACTGCTTTCCCTTCTCTTGGACCTAATGTTTTCTGAGGATGGTCTTGGTTGGCAGCCTATGGCACGCAAGCTTTGTGTTTTGTTTTATATGCACCATACTTGTGTATAATGTAAATTTTGTATATTGAAAAAGGTGTCTTCCATCTTACTTGCTGTGTAAATGTAGAGCTTACGGAATCCTCAGATTGCAGACAATCTAGTGCAAATCTAGATTCATCCCTTTCCCTTTAGTACACAGGGTCATTCTGAAGTTGAGGAGAGAAGCTCATGCAGATCCTGTGACTTGTCGGAGCTCACTCCCAGTAGGTAAAAGCCAGGGCAGAACAATTTCTCTGTCCTCTCTAGCCATGGGACGTGACTGGCATGACCACCATGTATCTGTCAGATAGGTCAGACTTGTAAGGATTGGAACCCGGGGCTAGGTGTCCCTGCTTAAGTGGAGAGCACATGGAGAGGCCTTGGCCAAGCACAGGTGCAGTCTGTGGCTGCAGAGGGAAGAGGTATAATCAACAGCAGCTGGAACCTGAGAGGTGGCGGTGAGAGTGGGTGACGTTGGGAGATTGTGCAGGTATGTGGTGTTTGGTACTCAGACCCAGGCATTACATTTTTGGTAACAGAAACTCAGCTCCACAGGACTAAAGTGGTTGGCAAAAGAAAAAAATGGATATTTAAGTTTAAGAAATAGGGCTGGAACCCAATGCTCAAGTCAAAGATGGTGTTCATTTTGGGGACAACAAAATAAGGACCAGAGAAGGCGGTGAGAGTACCTGGTTAAATCCGCTAGGGCTGTAGACAGGATTGGTCCCGGGGTCAGTCTGGGGTTGAGTGAGCAGGACGGAGATGTTGAAGGGGGACAGAATGGGGACAAAGGTGAAGAATGCTGACCAGAAGGACTTTGACCAGACTTTGAGTCCATTGCTCTTTTCTATTAAATATTTATCTGTTAGTTTATTTATCTTTGTAGTTCTACGAAGCTGGACACTTTTCACCCTTGGACCGTGTGTGAAAGACAGGATAAAGGGATGTGAGGCACTGACTGGCCCTGCTAGTTTGGGAAAGCAGTTGCATTTGCCCAGATTTAGCAATGGCATTTTGGATCACTCAGGCAAAGGGAAATTATAGCTCTGATAGATTCTGTCAAATTCTCCATAAATACTAGGGAAATGGGCACTTATAAAATGTAACATAGGTCAGTCTTGCAAACAGTCATATGGGAAGTAAAATGTGCAATCCAGTGAGAGAAATGTTGCCATATGTTTCATTGTTCGGGAACAGTGGGATTGAGGCTATATCTGGGGCAGGCCGGAGTGGCAAGAACACTGGTGCTGCTGGGGTCAGACCCTGTAGCTTGACCCTGCTGTTCCATTGGCCTGGGCACTGTTCTCTTCTAAGACCTGGGGATTCTACATCCCAGACAGGGCTAAGGATTCAATGCCGTCCTGCTCTGCAAGTACATTCTAGGAAGTGCAGAGAACCATCCTGCAGTGTGTTTTCCATCCCCTCGGCTGTTCAGATGTCCTTAGCTGACTTGAGGATTGAACACCCCCACCTGATTTGGTGTGTGTAGATTGAACTTCATGTTAACTCCACAGTCCCTCAGGAGCTCGGTGGCTGTCCTTCCAATAGCAACTCATCTTGTATCCAACCCCACACTCACTCTCTTAGAACAATAGAGAGAGGCTAGCATTCCTTTCCCTATCTTTGCATACAAAAGTATTAGGATCAAGTCTTATCCGACTAGCTCCTGTTTATCCCATAGCAAATACTGTATTGCAGAGTTGTCCTTGAGCTTATAGAAGAGAGGCGAGCAGACTGATTAAGGGTAATGTCGGATTGATTATAGCTAGCTGAATGAATATTTCTTTGGAGTTGATTAATGTCACTATGTTACAGGGAGATCACTAGGTTTTTGTTCTTGGCCATGGTCAAAGTGACCATTTTATAAGTGACACAGATGAAGCAAAGAAAGCATGCTTATCATATCTGTAACTGTGGGGAGAATAGTTACAACTCAATAACAAATGCTAACTAAATAAATGACGAGCAAAACTAAATAAATCCCCAAATGATTGTATCAATGACTTCCACTTCTTGCTGTGCAGTAGAACCGATGGAGGAGTATTTTTAGAAACTATACCTAATCATTTAGTATCCTTGGGAATAAAGAAAGGAAAGGAAAAAGAGGGGACACTGTCACAAAACCGAGCTCTCTCCTTGGAAGTTCTGATTCAGCGTGGCACCAAAGTGTGTGAACACCGTTTCAGAATTGAGAACAAGTAAGACAAAACAAAGATATAAAGTGGCATATGATAACACAGATATATATGCATGTGTGTGTGTGTGCATTTAATATATATACATATATATATATATATAAGATGAAAAACTAGTGAGGAACTACCCCACACTGTTAACTATGATTCATTCAGAGTTAGGAGGCCCACTGATAATAAATTACTCTTACTTTCTGTTTCACTTAGTCACCATAGATTGCTCTGCCTCCCCACCCTCCCCACATGTGGCCTGTTCTGCAGAACTGACCTCTCACTGGCCTCTCCCTCCACTCAGCCGCTCAAGAAGGAAAAGGGATCAGGCCTGAGTGAGTCCTTCGCATGAACCCACTGAGTAATGCCGGTTGCCAAAAGAATCATGAGAATTGTAGGCTGCGTGTGCATGAGCACGGTGGCCCCCGAGGGTCGGTCATGGCACTGCTGTGCTCTGCCAAGGGCAGATGTTGACCGCCCAGGGGACATCAGCCACCAGGAATGAGGAGTCTGCAGCCACGTCATGTGAGTCAAGAGCAGGAACCCGGCTGGGCAGAGAGAAGACCTAGAGGGACGTGACAACCGTCTCTTTATGTCCGACATGCTTTACGGGAGAAGGGCCGTCCTCAACTCGGACGCTCATCGGGAGGAACCGTTGACTCAAGGTCAGCCGGATGTGGAAGTGATAAGACAGTCTAGTGGCTGGGCAGGCTGCTTCCAGAGGCATCAGGCACCCCACACTGCAAGGTGTTTAAGCACAGTCTGGAACTTTATATATTTGGTAGGAGAGACTTCTATGCCCTGTGCGTAATCAAAAATTCACCGAGATACTTGCTGACTCAACAGATATTTACTGAGAATATTGTGTGTTCCAAGAAACTGGATTCAGTGGCCTTTTGAAAGTTCTTTCAGATCAAACCAGGATTCTACTTGGTTCAAGAGAGGGTTTGAGGTCTTATACTATGAAATTTATCCGAGAAAGTTTTTAGTAGGTACTAATTATCCAAGGAATATTTTTTCCAGCATCGACAATGAACTTATAAGATTCATTATATGAGCTTATCAGATTAAGTCTCAGGTGTGTGTCTCCCAAGCCTGCAAGGCCACGACCCTCAAGAGCAGCCGGGGAAGCCTGAGCAGCTCTGAGAATGCAGTCCCATTCCAGAGGAAGGCATTTGGCTTGACTCATCAGGACAGGAGTGACGTGAATCCAAACCAAAGTCAGCAGCCTTGAGAGAACCCAGAAAAGAAGCTGAAGTCAGGAGACGAGAGAGAGGCCTAAAAGGTACTGGACTCTTAAACGGCAGTGGATGGAAACAGAGATGATGGAAAGGCCGGGTGATCTGTCAGATTTTCCCATAGGACAGCCCTCCCCAGCTCTGCCTCCCCCTCCCCACAAACATCTGGCCTGTTCTGCAGAACAGACCCCTCACTAGCCTCTCTCTCCACTCAGCCGCTCTAAATACCCGATTCGCAGTGAGCGGCTCAGCACACCTTGCGTCTGTAGAGGGCCCATATGAAACAGGTCTTTTCTCTTGTTCATTTGCACTTTTCTGAGCTCTGCTTTGTCTCCGTCACTGGCACCCATGCACACAGGTATGTGTGTACACCCACATGCACATGCATGTACACACAACCATGGTTTTTCTGAAGCTCAGGAACACATGGTACTTCAGGCAAGGGGAGGAGCGAGTTAAGCATTGAGCTCCAAGAGAAGAGATTCTCACGGTTTATCAATCCATTAGCCCAGGCCCAGGAGCCTTGAACAAGGATCCTGCAGCTCCTTTGTGGCTCCCCT